ATGCACTGTTTCTAAGGTTGGAGAAACCTGCAGTCAGCTGAGACTGAAGAAGTCACCTGGATGAGTGACGAAACGTTTCTCCCCCTGAAAACATTACGTCCAGATGAACAGAATCAACCTTGTGGGTTTTACTTACCTGGATGATTGAGCGTGCATCAAGACACCATGTGTGTTAGTGCCCAATTATGAATAATATTACTCAGATATTGATCAGTGACAAACACAAAAGGCTACAGTTTCAAATATTTTAGACTCTGACTGGTGAGAGTAAAATGCTGAACATTTGTCTCAATGCTAGATAGAAAGCACTCAGGCATAGGATTTAGTGTTTATATGAATGTCTGTGGATGAGGCATGTTTTATGAAGAGCTTTGTCTATGTTTATATGTCTGGTTGGGTCTTAGACTCCATCTCACCGCCCCCCCACACACACCCATCTGGGGCTCTCCCCAGCTTGTTTCTAGGAGGGAGGTGGCTGTCCCTCCAGTGGTCCTGCTTGGGCTCTTGTGCTCTGGGGGGAATCTAGATGTCTGGGTCCTGGATGTCCTCCGTGCTTGCTCCATGTCCTGGGGGGCAGTGCTATGGTTCCCCGCAATTACTATTAGATAGTTACATGGAGAAACCTTTTGGAAACAAGCGCACTCACGCACACAGGTTTGCACAGACACTCACTATCTTCCTTGGATGCTGCCTCTAAGCATATCGTCTGCTGTCGGTCTTTTGTGCTGCTCAGTAGCATTCAGTCTTTATTATTTACTCTTACTTATGCTTATCTAGGTTGTTGCTGTGGTCTCCCTACTGTGTTGTTCTCTTTTTGCTTGTTTTCTTCTTTTTCTTCCAGCAGGTGATCTCATGGGTTTTCATTGTCTTTTCTCACTGTCCCTCTTCCCCTCTGTTTTTCTTTCCCTCTCCTTTTCTTAAACTTCTCTTATCTGTCTTTGTCTTTACGATCCCCCGGTTATATCTGTTCCAATTGTAATCATTTAAAAAAATAAAAAAATAAAAAAATAATGAAGATCAATCAAGTGGACCAGTATGGCACTGATTCACTTGAGAAAATAAATCTGTTGAGAATTTTTCTTGGCATTCAGACAATGATTCTGATTGCTTCAGTGCCGAACGGGACAGGACAAAAAAAAGTGATCGTCCAAAAGCTCATGGATTGAACTGTATTTAAACTAACATTGTATGATGGTATTTGAAGAAGTCACATCAGCTGAGTCATGGCTGCTGTGCAAACAGTGAATTATTTAGTTGAGTTTGTTTGTTTCAGAGTCAGAGAGCCGTGTCTCTCTACAGTCAGAGGTTTTTGTACGGCGCCTCAATGAGTTTGTATCACTGTGGTGGACTTTTGGTGGAGGAACCAGACTGAATGTTGGAAGTAAGTCAGACTTAGAGCTTTTTTTTTAATGTAATTTTCTTTTCTTTAATTTCATTTAATATGAAAGGTTAGGAAACTTTTTGTGTAACTGATTAATTATTTTATTCATAAATTTTGTCCTAAGAAACAAAGTCAGCTTTGGAAATGAATATTCAGACACTCAGGACAATTTCCACTGAAAAAAGTTAAACTGCACAGAGTGAAGATAAAGATCTCTGGTGTTCTTATTGTATCATATCATTTAAAACAATGTAAGCAATAAAAAAAACCACATTAGGTAAGTAGTGGTATTGAGTTTCTTATCCAGAACAAGCTGTTTATTATGAAGAACTGATGATGTTGAAGCTTAACATCTTTTAAAAGTGTTGACACATCTTTGTTTTGTTTTGTTTTTTTATTTCCAGTGTAGTTTGAACATATTTCAGCTCAAACTGTGTGATGATTCTCTCTGTGCTGATATGCATGAGAGGTTTCTTAAAGGGAAGTGAAACAATGTGTGAGTGAATGACTGGTGGAGCAGAAAAAACACCTGACAGAAACTTCTTAACGGAGAAAATCAAATTGTGGTTCCTGTCCTCTAAGCTGATTGGTGTTTCCTAGGTGATGCCCGCCCCGCCCTGAAGGTGCTGGGTCCCTCCAGTGAGGAGCTGAAACAAGGGGAGGCTACAGTCATGTGTCTGGCCAACAAGGGCTTCCCCTCAGACTGGAGTCTGTCCTGGAAGGTGGATGGCAGTGGCAGCATCAGCTGAGAGGAGAGCAGGAGCCCCGTGGTGCAGGAGAACGACGGCCTCTACAGCTGGAGCAGCACCCTGAGGCTCCCTGCAGACCACTGGATGAAGGTGGGCTCTGTGACCTGTGAGGCCACCCAGGGCTCCCACACTCTGGTCTCAGAGCCACTGATGAGAGACCAGTGTCCCCAGTCCTGACCTGACTAACTGTGACTTTCATGCTGGTCTTACTTTCACACTGCATTCTGTAGCTTTTTTTCCAATTTCTTCTCTCATTTTTCATTGCTTTGTTTAAAGTTTAAAGTTTGTTTAAAGTTTTAAAGAATAAAAAAATATCTATATTAAATAAGAACCGAGTCTTTGTCTTACTTTTGTGGTGATGTGAATTTTAAACTCTAAATAATGATTTCCAGGGTTCTAATTGGAAGCCAGTGTGCTATCTGTAGTCAATATGAGTCAGTAGAATTAAGCCACTTTCAATACATGAAGTAAAGCAAAGTTTATGTTAAAGAGTAAGTGCGAAGGGGAATAGAGTCACACTGCCATTACTAAGCAGGATATTAAAGACATTACATTTATGCAAATTCATTGCATGCTGTGTAATGAAATGTTTCAGCATGTTGCAGTTTGTTGTATAAAACACTGACTGAGCAGGTGGAGCAGAAAAGCGCTGTACAAGAATGAGTCTATTCTCGTGATCAGTGTTGGGGTAGGTATTTTAAGAAGTCATTTAATATACAGAGTTTTTTTGTTAAAAGTATTCAGTACGTTATTTTGCTGTTTTTGTTTCTGTAAAATCACCTGAAACACAACATGTCATAACTGTCATTGAACAATATGAACTTGTAGGCTACAGTCTCTCACACCAACATAAATCCCTATCCTAATGACGACACACATATTTTCTTTCTCTTGGCATTTAGGTATATAAATACCTGTCAAGGGTCCTTGACATACAGGTCTCCGACTCGGAGGACAAAAATTAATGTCCTGTGTCTTAGGAGGGCAGGATTGCTTTGCTTTTTCATTATACGATGCTTCGCAGTATTAGTTTTGCCTAACAACCTGTTTTTGACTCCTAAATTGTCATTAATGCAACCGCTCTACATAACAGTCAGTGTAACTGATTATAAATCTTTTATTCATGAACCTACACATTACGCTTTATTTACTAGTTGTATGTATTTTAACAGAGCAAGAGGTGGACCACACGTTTGAAGAGCTGCTGGTCTTTATAACTGGGGCTGACTTACTTCCACCACTGGGGTCCTGCAACATAGACTTTTATGATCAGGAGTCGGGGATACGCATCGATGTGCAGCTTATCCCTGTATCTTCCGAGACGTGTTGCATACAAGGATCAATTTAAAGATCTTATGAACACTGCATTAAAAGCATTCCTGGGATTTGGAAAGCTGTAGCTGCATTTACATGAGCTGATGCTGGAAAGCTGTGGTTGAAACCTGTGGCCTTTTGGGAGGAAGTTGTGTTATTCTAAGTGTTCTTAAATGGGATTGCTCCTGGGCTTCTTCAAAATTGTACATTTTAAAAGTGTTTAGTATAAAGGTTTTTTGTTTTTACAAATGTGACTGTATATAGTTATATTTATAGTCCCGTTGAGACAGGTGGGGTATGCATGCAACAAGCCATGCACCAAAAAGTGATGTTCAGAAAATGCTTCAAGTATTGGAAGGAAAATAACAATTCATCTAGAAATGTTCTTTTGAAAGGTTGTTGTGCAGTCATGTTTAAGTATTCGGTTATAATATACTGCATAGTTTCTTGTTGCTGCGTTGTGTTTGTGTTGTTGTTTTAAATGTGCAATAGCTGCCTAACAAACTTTGAACTGAAAGACGCTGACTTTTGTAAAATAAAAGTATTGTAATGTCAGTTCTCATGGTGTCTCTTTACCAATTAAAGTTGAGGCTCACCTGTTACTGTCAAATACTGGTGTTGGGATCCACTGACGAGGGCTGTTCAGTACACAGGTATGTGCTTAAGTCGAGGTAAACGGTTCAATAAATTTACCTTCATCTGTTCTCAAACTGAGAGCTCAAGATTCCAGCTCAACTCAATTTGTTCAACTGCTTTCAGGAACAAAGCAGTTTTAACTCCTAAGTTTAAAGTCAGAGTTGGTTAACTCTGAGATTGGCAGCTGACCTTTGACTATAACCTGTTTAAATATTAATAACTCAATTTGAGGAATGTGAACATGTGTCAGTGCTATTATTAGAACACATACTAATATACACAGAGGGTAACGAGGGAATACACCACAGAAGGCAGACACAGCTGAACCTCATCAGACATGACGAATACACTCACACAGAACGCAGAATCCAAATAAAACAGGGAACCAGAGAATAGCTCTGAGACACGGGTTGACAGAACATAAGGAACAGAGGGACGAAGAGATGCGACTGGAAAACAGAAAATAAATGAAACGAATCATATTAATAATCAAAAACATGAATAGGAAGTCAACAGCTCTTTGGACCGTGGCAGTGTTGAACAGCAAAAAAGAGAGAATCTAAAAACCTGAGAAAGAAAAGATGGAAATTTGATCATTTGACTGATTTGGACTTAAAGTTTCTATTTGAAGTATTTGCTAAATTGTGCAGATAATTATGACTCACTGACTTTTGCTGACTTCATTTAGTGTTAGATTTTTTTTCTTACAGAAATATGATTTTTGATAATGATCGATATTTAGAAATTGAGATTTATTTGAGCTGGTATGAAGCAGAAGTCAAAGGTCATAAATGATTTGTTAAAAAAATGATATATTTCCAACTTTCGTTTCCTTTAGCAACAATGACATTTTCACTGTGTGTGTGTGTGTGTCCTCAGTGAACTGTATCAGTCTCTGCAGTATCTTCCAGCTGCAGCACTCAGTTCAGATTCTGTTCAGTCTGACTGAGGGAGGTTTTTGTACGACTGTTAGGATAGTGATAACTCTGACAGTAATAAACTGCTGCATCTTCAGCCTGGACTCCACTGATGGTCAGAGTGAAGTCAGAGTTTGATCCACTGCCTGTAAAACGAGCTGGAATCCCTGATTGTTGAGTGCTAGCATAGTAAATGAGCAGTTTAGGAACTCCTCCATCTTTCTGTTGGTACCAGGCTAAACGCTGATAGTTGCTATGAACATAAACATTCTGACTGGTCGTACACTTGATGCTCACAGTTGCTCCCACAGCAGAGCTCACTGCTCCAGGCTGAGTCACTGTGATCTGTCCTCTGGACTCTGAGGACACAGAGACAAAAACATAAAGCAGCTTCATGGTTTTGTGGGCTTCATTTCAGAGGGACAGATGTTGATAGAGGAGAGGAGTTTGATTCTCTGGACTTTACCTGTGAAGCAGCAGCAGAGGAGAGTCCAGATGAGGACGCAGATCAAAGTCATGTTTTTGATGAGGAGGATTTCTGTGGCTTCTGTTGTGATGAAGGACAGCTGTCAGTCATCCAGTGTTCAACTCTCAGGACCAGAGATGGGCGTTACTGTAATCTGATTACTTTTTTCAAGTAACGAGTAAAGTAAGGGATTACTATTGCAAAATCGGTAATTAGATTACCGTTACTTTCCCGTAGGAACGCTGCGTTACTGCGTTACTAAAACCGTGATTTTTTTTGCGAGAATGTCTCATGACAGTGACGTAAGCAAGTGCGACATTGGTGACAGCAGCTGTGTGCAGATCAACAATGGATAATATATCGAGTGCGGGAGAGAGTATGAGCGTGCAGCGTTTAAAGTGTGGAAGTACTGACCTTACTTTGAGTTTGATTCCATAAAAAGTGACAAAAACATTAGCGTCCATCGTGCGTGGGAAGAAAACTTCTTTTTACAGCGAAAAAAACCCCTAAACTTCCGAGCAAGCACCGAGTAGCTACGACGTGATGGGAAACTCACAGAGACACTCGCGCGGATTCTTCAACTGACCGCAGCACACCTGCACCAGGGTAACCCTCCGCCTACCCTGCTCCTGCTTTACAGGTGAAAATAGAGCAAAAGGACCGCTGAGTCTTTGACTTTATTTATTTTCTGCTGTGTTTTACTTGCATCTGTTTGAAAGAGTGAGTGAAAACACAAAAAATATTTTATTTTATGTGCTGGAATGTGTAGAAAATAGGTTTAAATGTTAAACTAATTTATTCAAGTCAGAGAATGTTGCATATAATTAAATGTTTTGCTTGATGCATAAAGTTAAAAGATTAAAACTGATAAAACAAGTTTTAAAAAGAGACTTTTCCATTTGATTACATTTTGTATGATGGATTATGTAGAAAAAGTAGAATTGGGCTGAAAGATCTATCACTTTATCACCTACTCAGGTTGTAAATCGTGTTTTTAAAAAGTAACTAAGTAACTAAGTAACTAAGTAATTAATTACTTTTGAAAATAAGTAATCAGTAAAGTAACGGGATTACTTTTTTGGGGTAGTAATCAGTAATTAGTTACTGATTACTTTTTTCAAGTAACTTGACCAACACTGCTCAGGACTATAAACTCTCCCAGAGCACTGGAGCATGGTGCTGCTGATGCAAAGTGTCTCTCTATGGAAATCATCTGACTGACTCCAGCAGGACTGCATAATTAGTCTTTGCAATGTGAATTCACAGGTTTTCAACATGTTTTGAGATGTAATTGGGTTGGTAGGTTTTTATTATTCTATTTATTACTTTATCCAGGACCTTTAAGCCTTCTCCTGATACACAATCTGGTAATGTGGATTAAAAGCAGAATTAAACATTCATTCAGCTACTGCTATAAAAGTGATCAATGAACCTTTTGGTGTGACTTTTTTCCTAGACTGACTCCAACACAGACTTGGACCAGGCTCATAATGCTGTTTAATAATGGATCAATCAAATTAACATATCACTGAATAAAGGTCTCAGAGTCAGTTTTCTAAAATCTGGAATGTGTTTGAACAGACTGCCACAAGGATACGTCTTTGTTTTTTAAAGCCATTTCATGGACAGATAAGACCTGTTAATTAAACAGATGATTGATTGATTTTAAGTAAAATAACTGCATGTATTGATAATTAATTACTATCCATATGAGGTCCAAAGAGATCATCACCACAGGAAATAACAAAATAAACATAAGAGCAGAAACTTTAGGACTGTCCGAATCAACCACCTGGTTCATTCGTAAAAGGAATAAATGCATAGGACAGCACGATACTAAAAAGGCCTGAAAAACCACAGAAGAAAACTAAAACTGATAATGACAGAATGCTTAGTTAAGAAAAAAAAACATTCCCTTGGAAAACTTGGATGCAGTTCGCCTTGGTCGCTCAGCACTCAGTGACGCTGACACTGCTTTGCACCTAACAGCTTCAAGGCCAGGGTCCTCAGTTCCCCCTTGGGACCTGGACCTTGTCCTTGGGGCCCTCCACTTGAGCCCCTGGAAAGTGCTGAGTTGAAGTGGCTATCGCTTAAGACTGCCTTCTTTCTGGCCCTAACTTCCACCAGATGAATTAGTGAGCTGGAGGCGCTGTCGGTCCACAGTGACTGTTGTAGGTGGCTGCCAGATGGGAAGGGGGTGGTCCTCCGGCCCAACCCTGCCTTCTTGAAGAAAGCCCTCTCGGACTTCCACCTCTCTCATTCAGTTGAGCTGCACTCAGCTCCCACTGAAGGTTTGGACTAAGAGGCTGCTGGCTCTGTGGCCCGTCCGAGCTGTGGCACTGTATGTTGCATGTACCCACTCGATTCGGACAACGGACCAGCTGTTAGTTTCATTCCATCCCGGGATTCTGGGAAGCCCCCAGTCCAAGTCATCAGCTGTGTCAGCCTGACTGTACTGAGAGTAATTAATAGTAATTAATACTGTTGGATTTGAAGGTAAAATCCACAGACTGAACTTGTGGCCTTCACGTTTCGACCCCTCTTATGATCGAAAATCATGTGGGTCATATGTGTGTGTGTTTATTTGGGTGACTCTGTCATGGTCCTGGGTCATGTGACCCAGTATTCTGAGTTTCTTGATGTTTTCTTATTCCTTTCAGTCTAGTTTCATTTCAGTTTATCGAGTTACATTCAGTCACGCCTGGGTTACAGTTTTAATTCATGATTTTTAAAGCTCCCCATTTGTCTCATCCCTGTGTGAAGTTTTCTGTGTTAAGTCTTCGTGTGTTTATCTGTCATGTTTCATGTCCAAGTTTTCTTTGTTTGTCTAGTTCCAGTCATGTCTGGGTCTCGTTATGTTTCCCGTTTTATTTTGAAGGATCCTTGTGTTTTGTGTTTATTGTATTTAGCTTCACGTCCCCTGTCCTGTCATTATGTTAATTGTTGTCAGCTGTTTCCCATGTGATTCCGCTTCCCCTGATCATTCCTTATGTGTACTTAATCCGTGTGTTTCTGCTCAGTCGGTGTCAGATCGTCTGTTAACCTCACCACAGTATTCATAGGTTTACCTCATTGTTCCGCTGTGTGTCCGAGTTTACTCAGTGTTCATAGTTTTGTTGTAGTTCTTTCACTGAGTGTCACAGCCTTCTGTTAACACAGTGTTCATCGTCTCCTTAGTTTCCCTAGTTTGATGTTTTTTCTTCTGCAATAAAGGCTCGCTTTATTTTTGAAACTACGTTTTGTCTCCACCGTGTCTGCATCTGGGTCTACCTCATTCTTCACACCGGCGCACCCCGCCGTGACAGACTCTTCCCATCAGAGGATGTATGTGTGGGTGTTTCTCTCTCGTCCCTCACAGGTGCCTGCTGAGTGGTTGGGTTCACTGATTCCTGTTCCCAAACTGTGTACAGAAATCTGTACATTACAGAGAGTGCAAGCATGCACATTTTTTATTTTCGTCAGCCAAAAAGTTTACTGATCTTTGAGAAAATTATGTAACTTTAATAACTATATGTTCTAACTAGGGACCGAAAGTGCTTAAAATCTCAGAGAAGCGGTGTAGGTGAGGTAGAAAGTCATTAGAATTATATGTTACATATCACACATTGTCTCACTTTGTCTTAGATAAGTGTGTGTGTGTGTGTGTGTGTGTGTGTGTGTGTGTGTGTGTGTGTGTGTGTGTGTGTGTGTGTGTGTGTGTGTGTGTGTGTGTGTGTGTGTGTCCTCAGTGAACTGTATCAGTCTCTGCAGTATCTTCCAGCTGCAGCAGTCACTTCAGTTTCTGTTCAGTCTGACTGAGGGAGGTTTTTGTACGACTGTTTTTCACTGTGTGAACACATACTGACTGTTAGGATAGTGAAAACTCTGACAGTAATAAACTGCTGCATCTTCAGCCTGGACTCCACTGATGGTCAGAGTGAAGTCAGAGTTTGATCCACTGCCTGTAAAACGAGCTGGAATCCCTGATATTCTCTCATGAGCACGCTTAATGAGCAGTTTAGGAACGTCTCCATCTTTCTGTTGGTACCAGGCTAAATAGTGATAGTTGCTAGAAACATAAACATTCTGACTGGTCGTACACTTGATGCTGACAGATCCTCCCACAGCAGAGCTCACTGCTCCAGGCTGAGTCACTGTATTTGCTGATGCAAAGTGCCTCTCTATGGAAATCATCTGACTGAAAACAACAAGTAGTTGGATCAAATAGTCGATGCTGTTTATCAATTAATCAGTCAGTTTATGAAAATGTTTTCTTTCTTGTGTTTTAGGACACATCCACACATTGATGGATGTGTGGGATTTTTAAATTTGGGTATTTTCTGCAATCTTTTACAAAAACATGTTCATTGACTGAGAAAGGCAAGAAAATGTTTCATGATCAAACCAGAGCAGTACTTTGTGATATAACCCCAAGTGTTGCCAAATGCCAACAAAACATGCAAACAATGTCTGAAGATAAAGGCTCAGACATTCGTCCTTGTAAGACAAAATCTGATTTCCTCTTGTTCACTTAAAAAAAGAAGAAGAAAAGAAATGTTGTACTTGTCTACTCAAACACATGAACAGAGTTTCAGAGAATCTTCACCCTGAAAGAAGTTTTAGAAACTTACCTGTCAGCAAATCAAAGAACCGCTTACATGTAAGCAACAGGACAGAATAGAAAAGATTTCCCCCAAAAAAGAACCTGCACATTTGAACATGGCGTCAAAAATGAAAGACATTAAAAAATCAGAGGAAAGGTACAATTTGCAAAACCTATTTTAGAGTTTTGTAAAACTCAGTACAAAAAAACTTGCAGTGATTCACATTGATGCATGATGCTGACCACAGGATGCAAAAGTTAAACATGACCACAGCGCAGAATCATTCATCTCTGTTTTAATTTGATATTTTTATAACAGGACAACCTGTGAGGCTGGAAAGACGTCGGTTTCATGCCCTGAACAGGTCACTTTCTGTTTGGTGATGTAGTGTCTGCAGTGTTGGGAAGGTTACTTTTAAAATGTATTCCACTACAGATTACAGATTACATGCCCCAAAATGTATTTTGTA